GCTGCCATCTCATTCAGTTGCCTTGAATGACATATACTAGACTACATTTACTTTTCATTTTTAGGGACTACAGATGTCCATGCGAAAGGAAAGCAAAGACATAAAAATAGTGGAAAAAGTTCTAAAATGTGTTGTCCTTACAGGAAGTATGAGGGAATCTTCCTAAAAGGGAAACAGATGACACAAAAACCTGACAGAGGTTATAACCCTCCCCCGTATCCACAGCCAGTAAAATAGCTAGAGTTGGGCTTTGGTTACTTCTGTTTTGAACTTTCAAATTGGATAATGTGATGTCTACAAGAAGAGTAATAGATCTCAGTACCAATCTGCATTTTTGCCAATTCAGTAGAAAATGAGCCATGATGTTTCAAGTGAAAGTGTTCTAAGGGCATAGATAGCAGATTGAAGTAATATTACATTGATATGGCAAACAACATACATTCAGAATAATTCTTAGGCCTGCAGCACATGGTGCCCACACAGCTGCAATTTTATACACTAGCTGCTAAGTGTATGAATATGATTTAATCATTTTAGACACATTAATGTGGACAATTTCTGCTTTGTGACGATCTATAAAGCCTTCCCTTGAGAAATGAATATTTATGAATGTAGATAAGTAAAAAGTATTCTTTTTTCCTGTATAGTTAAAGTAGCTGGCTTTCAATAGCATGTACCCTCTTTTTCATTTTATCTAATGTTTTCTTGATCCTTTTGTTACAGCATTGTTAAAAGGTTTGTTCTGTCATTAGAATTTTAAGAGACAGTAGTTCTACATTTTTATGAAAGGTAGAAGCTTAATCTACAGATAGCTTTTAGGCCCTTAGGTATGCGCCAAACCATTTAAAACAACTATTTAGCCAAAGGAGAACACCAGTGAGCGTATGAATACGATTTAATCGTTTCAGACACATTAATGTGGACAATTCCAGCTTTTGATGATCTGTAGACCCTTCCCTTAAGAAAAAAGAATATTTGAGAATATAGATAAGTAAAAAGTAATTCTCTCACACAGTTAAACCACCTGGCTTTCAATAGCTGTACCTTCTCTTTCATTTCTCTCTTTTTTTTTTTTTTCTTTATCCTTTTGTCACAGTATTGTTAAGGTTCGTTTTGTTAGAATTTTAGGAGAAAGTACTTTTTTTATGAAAAGTAGAAGTATAATTTAGAGCTAACTTTTAAGACCTTAGGTATGTGCCAAGCCATAAAATATTAATTTAAATCAACCGTTAAGTCAATGGAGAACAGTGCAGATTATTACCTCATCTCTTATATTGCAGCTTAAAGGGATTTTCCTTTACAGAGCTTAAATCAATGGGAGTTGGTAATTGATTAATACAGCTCATGATCCCTCGAGCAGTGCTTATAACAGTAGTAGCTCCTGGGATCTCAGTTTGCCTGCCACTTTTATGATACAGCTAATAGAGCAGTACATTGATAATCTATTAAAAAGAGACTTTATGCATTTTACTTACACAGAGCTTTGGTTTAGCAGTATCTTATCACCTCCCTGTTCTTAAAAAAAAAAAAACAAAAAAAAAAACCCTGTCTGTACAGGGATGGGGAGTTGCTGCAGGTTTAAAATGCAAGCACTAGAAGTGTGTGTATATACCAGCAGCAACCTCTAAAATTACAAATATCAGGTTGTTTGTTCCTTCCTCCTGCACTTTTTTTTTATCTAGCAAGGCTGCTTATTATAGTGATAGGCTATTCAGAATGTGTGGTAGCAGAGATTATTTGCAAGTTCTGACACTACCTAGAAATTTTGTAGCTTTGTCTGTTATGGAAGGGTTTGGTAGGCTGCTGAGTGTATGTGCAAGTATTTAAAGTAATCTTTATTGTGAAAATATGGAGGCTCGCATTGCTGACCAGTTCCATCTGTACAGGTAGGTTTCCTGGCTGTCATGCTAATTCGGTGACTGCAATACATTTTAAGGCATTGACCTGAAAAAAGTTGTCTTTATCACTGCAGTATCAAGTTCTAACTTCACTTTGACTTTTTTTTTGTATGCTTGTTTCAGGTCAGTGACAGCTAGAGATTAATGAGGCAACTGGTATTTCGAAATGTTTGCAATGACAGCCCCCTATTCTCTCAGTATGGCTTTACTTGTATTCTTAAAGCGGAGTTCCACTCAAAAGCGGAAGCTCCACTTATTGGCATCCTCCCCCCCTCCACTGCCATATTTAGCACCTTTTGGGGGGGAGGGGGGAGCAGATACCTGTTTTGACAGGTACCTGCTCCCACTTCTGGCTTCGTTCACCACGGCAGAGTGAGCCGGAAGTTCGGCCCCCTCCTTCCTCCTGCAGTCTTCTGGGAACTTTCACAGATCCCAGAAGACTGCCAGACCAATTAGCAGGCGCAGCATGACTTGCGCATGCACAGTGGGTACCAGGCTGTGACAGCTTACCCACAGCTGAGATGCCGGCGCCATGGAGGAGAGAAGGGATGGCGTGGGTGAGAACATTGCTGGACTCCAGGACAGGTAAGTGTGTGTTTATTAACAGTCAGCAGCTATACTTTTTGTAGCTGCTGACTTTTAATAAACACAAAAACTGCTGGAACTCCACTTTAACAAGCAGTTAATGAGCTGTAGCTGCAGGTCATGTCCATAGCAGAGGCACCAAAGTGGTTGAAGCTATTCTCTCAGTAGCTCAAACCACCATGCTCCCTTCTCCCAGCAGTGACTAGGCAGCTTTCCAGATCACTTGTTCCCTGTTTACATTAGATTTTAGAAAGCTGTAAGTTGGTTGAGTCACAGCTGGGAGGTGGAAGAATGGTGATCTGAGCTGCTGAGAGAAGGATTCAGTGCACAGTGACGCGACTTTTTAAAGGAGAATTATATGGTTCGTAAATACAAAAAAAAAAAACACCACACGCACCCACTTCAGTCTATACATGTGTCACTGCAGCTGTCCCACATCGGCTCTGAGATTGAAAGCTGAGCGATCACCTGACCACGAATTAGTCTGCTCTCAGTCTGCTGACAGTGGAGAACAGTGACTGTCAGTCACTGCACCCCTCTCTGCACCTCCAGCAGTCATTACAACGCCATGCTGGGTAGGGGGTGCTGCAACTGACTGCAGCTCTCAGAAAGACGGAGCCAACTGATAATTAGGCAGCCTGGTGGATCCTGACAATTGCTGGACTCCTTCCCGAATCTAGTGCGACTTTGCCCTTTCAACAGATAGCAGGCTCATTATCCGATGACTTTGGGTCACAGAAGAACATTTGTAAATGTACTCCTGTGGCCGGAAAGAGATTAAAAAGATTTAGCCTTACTAAATGTCCAGAACTTGTACACAGTCTATCCATCGGAACTGATAAGCAGATGTTTTAGGCAAGTATGGAAAACCAGAAGTGTTGTTCAATAAATACACCATGGGGCGCCATCCAAAACCTTAAAAAAGAAAGATATAAAATAGTTCAGGGAAGCAGCTCTTTACAGTGTTCCAACACTCTGTGTACAAAAACATCTATAATAAAAAAAGGCGCTAATCCCATTCCAATAAGATAATATTCAATAACATTCTGAACATTTACACAAAATCTATATCTATATAGTGAATGACTACAAACATAAATCATGTGAAGTCTCTGCAAGTAATAATCACCATAGATCATACATTTTATAGTGTCCATAAAAAAAATTATTTTTTAGTCCATTCAATAACCTTCTGAATGTTTTCTTCCAGACTGTATGCCCAATACCTGTGCAAAATTCCACTTGGTATCTATTCACCACCACGTGTGGTAAGATTAAAGGCTTACCAGATCTACTTCAATTTGTGCAGAGGAAGCAGGTGTCACCAGGGTCTTCTGCACAAGATAAAAAAACAAGGATCCACTCACATTTATAAGTGTCAATCCAGGCACTGGAATACTCGCATAGCATAGAAATAAACCATTAAAGCACCGGCGCTATAGCTATCTGAGCCAGCTTGCACTCCACAGGTGGGATACAGATCACCGGAAGTGACGCACAATGGGGGCCGGAAGTGACAACAGTCAGACCTCAATGCATTTCGTGGAATCGCGTCATCAGGAAGCTTCTTGATATCAAGTGGAATTTTGCACAGGTGTTGGGCATACAGTCTGAGTGAAAACTTACAGAAGACTATTGAATGAACTAAAAAAAAATTGTTTATGGACACTCTAAAATGTATGATCTATGGTGATTATTACTTGCAGAGACTATCTTCACATGGTTTCTGTTTCTATTCATTACTCACTATATAGATGTATATTTTTTGTTTAACGTCCATGTTATTGAATATTATCTTATTGCAATGGGATTAGTCCCTTTTTATTATAGATGTTTTTGTACACAGAAGTGTTGTTCAGCTATACACCTTTCTACCAGACCATGAACTGTTTTTAGGATGGCCAGGATTACAGAATGGCCCTTTCTTTGCAGCTGTATCATAAAATATTTGCAAATGAACGTCAGACCTTTTATTTATAACACATAATTACACCAGAAACCCTATATTTCATAGTCGGTCTCCTTTTTCAGGTAAAAAACTGTGTAGTGTGCTGTCTGCAAGAGGGGTTCATTCTATTGAACTGCTTTTGACAGCTCAATATAAAATGAGCCATGGTATTTGAGGTAAAAGAGTTCAGAGAACATAGATCACAGACTGAAGCAATAATACATTGATACGACATAATTATACATTCAGACTAATTCTTAGGCTTGTGTCTGTGGTAAGGTTAGTGTTATTTAGCTGATCAAATCTCATATGCAAGGGCTGTTTCTGTACTTTGTACAGGGTATATCTGTACTTTGTATATTACCCAATGGTAACAGGAAACTGAGATAGTGTGGGGACAAGTGCAACTTTCAAGAGATGTGTTGCCTGTATATCTGGACCTATTGATTATTTAGAAATGCCTTTATTGTAGGTAACAAATACAAGTTGTAAAACAGAATTACTTCAAATAAAGCAGTAATTTGACTGGTAATGTTTTATCTAATTTATGTCCTGTTCTTTGTTCTCAGTGGGATCCCATGATCACAACCTTGCCTGGCCTGTACCTGACTTCTGTGGGTATTGTGAAACCTGCTGCCTGGCTGTTTGGCTGGAGCAAGAATGTTGTCTGCTCCTCTGGAATGCTGCGGTTTATTAACCTTCTGTTCAGTCTGGGCAACTTGTATATGTTCTATTTAATTCTTAACAAGTTACACACAAGGGTAAGTTTCTTAGGACCAAGCTTTGACTTCCAACATTTATCATTGACATGCTTGGCTCCCAAAGCAGCAGTGATAAATTGAAAGTGTTAATTAGAAATACAATGCCAGTTAAAAGAAATAAAACAAATTAGCCTTGCTTATACTGTGCTTGTGTGACAATGTATGTGTAGACCCATGTACAGAGACTGAAATGCTCTCTTTGTAGCTGTAATTGTGTAGGTACATACAGTACATTTTAGTGATGGTGATAGATGCTAACAGCAAAGAGTGATATGCAAAGGCAGGACAGGGAAAATGTATTCTAACATGTAGCTGTAGATTACAGGACATTGCATATTGCTTTAATAAAGGGCTTACTATTGGTTTTTTTTATGCAAAGAGTCTTCCAAAGACTCACAAATTATTGATTCTGCATAAAAGAGACAGTATCCAGACAGCAAATGTTAACGTGTTTCAGCCTTGTGGGTTTTGTTCACGACAAATGTCACGTACAAGAATGACACAATATATGGTGTACAAACCTCTCCTGGCACCGTATGCTGTCAATTAACCAATTGATTGATAAAGTTGTTCTACTAGGTTGTAGCACCCCATATTCATTTTATTTTAGTGTTTTTCATGCTTTGTATGTGTAATGAGTCAACATAAATGGCAAATAATGCTGTTGTATTCGTGTTTTACAAAAAAAAAAACAAAAAAAAAAAAAACTACAATTTTTTTTTTTGATAAGCTTTCATTACTTTTATATCAGCAAAGGGAGAATATATTATGTAGAAACAGTGGAAGAAGTCAAGCTTTCAATGGTACAATCCCCCCTTCTCTGTATCAAGTACTTGTTGGGTCAGCATGGGGGTCTCCTCGGGCTGATTTGCACCATCATCTTTCCTGTGATCCTTTGCAGAGATGGTGACGTAGATCAGCCTGGAAGACCAGAAAGGGGGTCTAAAAGACAAAAGGTTTACAACATGCTATATTTTAACTACTAGAAAACATCTGACCAGTTGTTAGACGAAACAGCTCTAAATTTTAAATTTGTACTGTTCGCATACATGAGGTGCTACCGATGGAGGAAACTTTTTTTTTTTTTTTATGCTTGATACAATGAAAAGATCCAGTGTTCAGCCATTCTCAAAACTAGTCTCCTCATTCAAACTGGCCTGTTTCCTTCACATGGCCAACCCCAATAGCTCTTTGAAAAGTGTATGGTCAAAAAAAGTCTGTGGTTGCAACACTCTTAATTTATCGATGAAAACCTCATAAACAATGTCTCATATACTGTGCATACAAGCTTTCAGGCAAAGTCTGCCCTTCCTCAGGTAAGACGCACTGAATATACAAAGCACCATTTTGGTATATATACACATGTAGGAACCAGACATTTAGTTTCCACTCATAATTATAGCATAACACAAAACAAATGAATCACGGAGACATAATACCTGGATAGCCCTCCCACTGTGGAGTGGAACTTTCAAATGATGATAATAAAATATTCAGTCCATCCAAAATGTCCTTCAAAATCCACCTAAACGTGCAAACAAATTTACCAAATTAAATGGTTATAAAATAGAAATACCTCCATATCTCACTTCAGAGGAACAAATTCAGATCAAAATCAGATCATTTAGGGTGGGTTCACATCATAGAAATGCAGTCTGGATGTATTTCTGCATGCACATTTTTTATGTATTATGGTGCATTTTTCCCCCCTTTTTCTTCACCTTAAATAAGGACGTGTGTGTTCCGTTACGTTTTTGGTGCATTCCGGTGCGTTTTACCGCATTTCAGTATAGTTCAGTGCAGAAAAATTGCAGCATGTTCTACTTTTTTTCTGGAACTGGAACTAACCGCACTGGTGTGAACTATGCCTTTGGAAACCATATAACCTACTATCCATGCATTTTTTTATGCAGAAAAAAAAAAACACACTAGACTTGTTTTTTTTTTGTTTTATTTTGGGTCATTTCCCTATTGCATCCTCTTCTATTTTTTAGGTATATTTTCTATAACCATGAACATAATAGTTGAGAAATAGTATGTGAACATTTAACAAAATGGCTAGCAAACAGGTAATTGTGTACGCTTGTCCCTAAAGGAATATTTATGTCTAGCAAAGCGATAATTTTACTTTCTGTGTTTACATTTCTCCTACATAATATTATCCACATGGACATTTCAGAAAATATTCAGGATAGCTAGACTGACAGGTGTAATAATTTATTTTTATTCCATAACCCTGATGAGGATGACTAAAGGTACTCTTTTATCATATATGAGCATTGGATACAATTAAGATGAAGGGTAGTAACCTGTGTTACGTGGTCCCAATAAAGTACCTACAGAAACAAAGTCAGACTATACAACAGTTTGGATAGTATGTCCCTTTCTGCAAGAAGGAAGGGGATGATGAGTAAATTCTAAAACATCAAGACAATTATTGCATAGAACTGCCCAATGTGTTTTCCTAATAAGATAGACCTCCCTAATATTAGACATTTTTAATTTAGTGCTGCAATCATGGGCTATATTTGACTGTACATATTTTTTTAATATATAATCTTAATACAAACACAGTAAAATTGCATGCTTGCTAATCCATATTACCTTTTGTATTATCCATATTTCATTGTATCCAAACGCCACGTTGCCTAGTATCTACCTCTGCATTGGACAGTGGTGCTACCATCTGAGGGAAGTGATATAATCATTCCCTATACAGGAAGTTCTCTGTAGGAATTTTCTATTCTTGGCCAGGAATTGGGGGCATAATAGAGCCTTTCTACCCCTCCATTTGTCCTGCTCTTTTTATAAGTTACTTGTTTTAAAAAAAATACAGCTGTTTTAAAAACAAGGGAGAAAACAGGGTAGGACTGTTTGTTCTGTGCAGTAATGGGCACCATGTAGAAGCAGTGACATACTAAGAGTGATGTAAAAAGCCTATATTATTTGGACTGTGCAGCAAGTGGGCTGAAGTCAATAGGTCATAAAAGATCCCCGGTCTATGTGCTTGAACAACTGCTAGGAACCCTTCTGGGGAAAAAAAAAAACAAGACACATAGTTTTGCCTGTGCGCATATGCCTGGGCACTTCTGCGTTACCTGTTTTTGGGGTGGAACATGTAATATGTTCCTGATCCTGCAGCTGACGCCCGCTTTGACCCCCTCCCTGTGACAGAAGTATGAGGAAAAGTTCCCCGTACTAGCCGTCAGTTTTTAAAAACAGCATGGCCGTGCCAGGCTTTGTTCACACAGCTGCGTCATTCATTCACAGTGTTCTGTGAATGAATGAACTTCAAGTCCCGACAGCCTTAGCGGCTCACAGCTTGTAGTCCTCAATGAACTGCCATGGTGCTGTGGTAGTTCATTGAGTCTTCCTGTTGGCAAGTATCAAGTTTGCTTATGGGATGCACAAGCAAGCAGATAAACTGACAGTGTGCAGGAGACTTGCATGTCATCAGCGATCTGCTGTTCGCCGGTACAGTGCTTTACAGGCTCCTAACACAAAAAATAATAAATGCACTTTTTTTTATTTATCTGCAAAAAAAAAAGTGCATTTATTATTTTATGAGGAAAGGTGAACGTATCCTTTGATTTTATACATTATGCTCACAAATGTACTGCTGTGTAGAATCTACTTATTATAGACAGAATTCTACTGAAGATGAACATCTCTGATAGGTGGACAGCATTTAAATGTTTCCTTTTTTTTTCAGGTTTCTGTTATGAAGAGAATATTATTCACCTTTACGCTTTATGTATTTCCCACATTATATTTTTTCACATTCCTCTACTACACGGATGCAGGATCTACATTTTTTGTCCTTTTCACTTATTTAATGTGCCTCTATGGTAATCATAAAAGTGCAGCTCTTCTTGGGCTTTGTGCGTTTTGTTTTCGGCAGACAAACATCATCTGGATCATTTTCTGTGCAGGACACCTTATTGCTGAAAAGGTGACAGAAGCTTGGAGGACACACCTGAAGAAGAATGATGAAAAAAACCTCCTCCAAAGGTGTTTTTTCAGACGTGGCAGCAGCTGTAAAATTTCTTATCCAATACTCTCTGTATCCTAAGAACATGTTGACACTCTTGAGGTTAACCTGGCCCTATATCACTTTAGTTCTAGGTTTCCTGGTTTTTATTGTAATCAATGGTGGCATAGTAATAGGTGACAGAAGCAATCACGAGGCCTGTTTGAATTTCCCCCAGCTCTTTTACTTTTTTGCATTTACATTGGTCTTTTCCTTTCCAGTTCTAATTTCAGCTCAGAAAATTGCAGACTTTCTCAAGTCTGTTTGGAAACATCCTTTTCTATACACATTAGTAGCTTGCCTGTCCCTGTTTTTAATATGGAAGTTCACTTATGTTCACAAATACTTGATTGCTGATAATCGACATTATACATTTTATGTTTGGAAAAAAGTATTCCAGAGTCATGAGTTGGTCAGGTATTTGTTGGTTCCTGGTTATATTTTTGCAGCTTGGAGTTTTGTTGATGCTCTTAAGTCCAAGTCCATATTGTGGCTCCTGATGTTCTTTGTGTGTATATTAGCTACTACCATTCCTCAGAAACTAATGGAGTTTAGGTATTTTATCCTGCCATACCTCATCTTTAAAGTAAATACATCAGTTCCATCTGTGGGCAAGCTCCTTGTAGAGTTGTTACTCTATGTTACTGTCAACATATTTACATTCCACTTGTTTTTAAATAAAACGTTTCATTGGCCTGATAGCGCAGACACTCAAAGATTCATGTGGTAAACTCTGTCCATAAACCAAATTGAACTGCATTATCTCACACAACTTTTGATTGCAGCTAACATTACTTGTTCTGATTAAGAATTTAAAAAAGCTAAAATGAATTTCTACCCTTCCAAAAATAATAGAAATAGTGACCCCAGTAAAGAAGACTGTTTCCACCTACCAATTGAGCCAAGATAACCATGCTGGTTTATAGGTGCAATAAAATTATAAACAATAGAAATTCAGATGGGCTCATTCTTGCCAAATGCATATGTGGAGCTTCATAAACAGAGACTCCCAATGTAATAAATGGCAACTATACTTGCTTTATTTGTAAACAGGTAATCAAATTAGGCCTCATGCACACTGAAATTTTTTTTCAGCTGCTTCTAGGGGTGCCTGGCTTTTTTTTTTTTTTTTTCCTGCCCCTAAATGCCTGTGCATGTTAGCCTATGTGTCCATACACAACGCATCCAGGAGCAGCAGCGCTTTGGCAGAAAATATGCTTTACATTTGTAAATGCATCTAAACACACGTTAACATTAGGCGTGTTTAGCACTTGAATGTTAATTCATTTCAGTGGCCAGAGTATATTTGTATTCTGGTCAATTAAATGAATTAACACCCAAACGATTGACGCAGCTAAATGTATTGTTTTTTTGCCAAAACAATGCTGTTAGGAGGAAAGATGTCAAGGAGAAATAAAGAAATGTCCAGTGTGTATAAGGCCTTATAATTTAAAGTATGAACAGACATTAAAAAGGCATGCCAGGAGCACAGGTTGCTTTATCAGCAAGCAAGACCCTAGAGTTGTTGATAGTGTTTTTGTTGTTTTTTTTTTTTTTTATAGTGGCATCTCAAATGAATGGACCAGAACACAAGATACCACAAGAATGTATATTGTGTGAGATGGCAATTTCTCCATCAGCATGTAAAAGGCATGAAGGCCCTGACCATAGAACAGTATCAACATAGATCAGTAGTCATTTACAATGACTATTATCTAAATGTACTTTTTGCTGTGTTGAATATAACAGCAGACGATCAGTTAGGGATAAAACCCCCAACTGAAAAACCAAAAGCAATAACAACCTTTCCCCATTTTATGGGAAAAAAAAGTTTTGTCAGATAATGAAGCAACAGCCAATACTTATTGTAGACTGTTTGATTAATGGATCAGTGTGCCATCTTCCTGTAAATGCACGTAAGCTTTATCAGTTTTATTTGTCAGCGGAACATAACTTCTGTCTGATAAAAGAAGCAAGGGTATATTGTTAAGGAAGCCCCAGATAGCTGTAAAACCTGATAAAGGTTCTAACCTTCCCCCATTCTATCTAAAACATATTGCAATGTCTTACCTTTTCAAATGTTCCCAAACATGTTTAGTGGTATTGTGGTTTGAAGATTCAGGAGGTGATGCCAAGCGGCAACTTTTGTTTAAAAAAACAAAACAAAAAAAAAACAAGAAAAAGCATGTAATTGCTACACAAGCCATTTCATGTTGTTAGAAATACACACAGTTGCATCAGCCTGTTGTGCAACTGTTTCCCCACCTAACCTCTCTGATTAATTTAATTTACTTGTAAATGGGGCTTTTTGTTTTTAGTAGTATGACTTTAGTGTTTTTGGCCCACACTAAAAACTTTACAACTTTTTTTTTGGTAGGATTTGGTAGTATCCCATGACAGCTGGAGTCTGGCAGTCTGCAATTTACACACCATATAGTTTGTTCATTATATTGGCTTTGAGTCTTGGATGAAAATTTGTCTCACAACAAATCTGGTTATATAGCTCTCCAGATTCTGTTTTTTGGTTTAGATCTGCTTGTTAAAGCTTGGATTGAAAAACTACAAAAATTGTAAAATCTCCAGCTTGTGCTGTACTGCTCCCTAATAAAAAGTAAGCCTACAGTTTAATGCACCAAACATTTTGAAGCATTTGGGAGAAGAATTTTTCTTCAAGCTGCTTCACTGATGTCTTTCAGTGTTTACAACACTTGGAAAATACAGTATTTTTTTCAGCTGGTGCTTTTTTAAAACCATTTGTATAAATCAGTAAGTTAAATGTATGCTATTTTTATAAGACCAACAAACTGTGAACAAACTATAGGCAAGAAATTCAAATGAAGTTCATACAAAACTTAGACTGATAACTGATATGTGTAATTTTCTAAATTATATATTAATTTAAAATATATCTATGCTACTAACTCCAGCTGAATATGTGTCGAGCCATATTATATGTATCAGGAAAATATAGATAAGGTAACTTTTATTAAACATATAAATATGATTAAAACATGACCAAAATCAATGTAAACCCATAATCCATCTCCTTGAGATGTTCAGATAACAACCATAATCACTCCAGGCAAAAATCCTTTAGCTTAATTTGCTTTTTCAAACAACTGATAATCTTATGTGGGCAAATAATGGATTACTGTGTGACAGATGGAGGATAGAATAATTAAGAAACCATAGACAGACCAATCCCTAACTATCTGTAAGTGATACGAAAGTAAGTGGATTAGAACTTCTCATTGTTTTCAGTTCAATGAAAACAAAATCTATTTTATATTCAGCATGTACACAAAGTACCCATATACATCCCTAGCAATTCTAAGTAGTGTGATCTTTCTGTATAGTAAAGAATATTGAAGGCAGTGAAATTGGATAATTATTATTGTTATAATACAGGATTTATATAGCACCAACAGTTTGCACAGCACTTTACAAAATTAAGGGAGACGTTACAGTTACAATACAATTTGGTACAAGAGGAATCAGAGGGCCTAGGAAGATATGTATGTAACTGCAAGAAGAAAAAGATACTCGGCTGCCATTCAAATGTAGATCCAAAACCTTAGTAAAAAGACTATCAGGGAGATTTGCTAAAACTGGTGCACTCAGAATCTGGTGCAGCTGTGCATGGTAGCCAATTGCCTTCTAACTTCAGCTTGTTCAGTTAAGCTTTTACAATACAACCTGGAAGCTGAGTGGTTACTACTGTATGTGCAGCTGTACCATATTCTGTGTGCGCCAGTAAATCACCTGTTCTGCCAGTTATCATAAAAATGACTGTTTAAATCCTAACTGCAGGATAAAAGTATCCCCTACCCACCCCCTCTATCTGATCATTGGGCAAAGAAAATTAAATTGCTGTTTTCATTTGCCTTAGGCCGTGTTCATGTGCTCATCCAGCGGCAGGCAGTATAGGCCAACAAAAGGAGGGGTTCTCTTAGGATCATGAAGACAGATGACGTTGGACTGATGGGAGCAAAGACGACCAGGCGGTGAGGTTTAACAAACTGATGAATTAGCAGTAACTGCAGGAAAAAATGGGGCCAGAGAAGGACTTGGATGGACGGGACTTAGGTGAGTAGTACTAGCTCAATCAGGATACGTTCAATAGATTATGAGTAGTCTCAGGCTTTAACAGAGCAAATTGGGGAAATATATATATATTTATATATATTTCTTGACTAGAGTGTCCATGGTTTATGTTATCTGAATATTTGCAAAAAGGCTTCTTGGTTTTACTTGTGTTTTTAGTTTTTTTTTAAGCATATTTATTTTCTGTTGAGAACTTCATTTTATATATTTTCCTGATACATGTAATAATGGGAGAAGTTGGTAGCATAGAATAAAATATCATTTACACATCACATAATTACACAGTAGGGTCCACATGTCTAACTTCACTACCAAATCCTGCATCTGTTAATTAGCTGCCAAAGAACAGGCTGTAGAGAGATTAGCAAAAAATAATTTAGGGAAAAATAGTAATATTTTTAATCAGATAAAAGGGTTCCTGTAATTCTGTATTTTCCAAAAAAAAGGGTGTAGTGTTATTTATACTTTGTATGAAGTAAATGTAGAATCACAGGTGACATAGGTTATATGTTTATAAAGTTGTTAAAGATTTGTTGTTTCCTTTCGTGAAAATAGTGGTTTTTTTTTGTATTCTTATTGGAATATATTTTGTTTAGAAAACTTATTTGGGGTAGCAAACAAATCATTTGAGTTTTTATATTGAACACTAGGTGTCAGTCTTCCCATGTGAAATCACATCATTCAAGTCATTTTCAATGTATTTTCATGTCCATTTCCAGGTATAAGGAAACAAATGCATTTTTCTTGTTACTTTGTGAACTGTTAATATGTACAGATATATTTTTGTATTAATAAAACAAAGCTTTCATAAACTGGTTAGGCTGTGCATTTTTTTAAAAAAATGAAATGCAGCTGTAATGTAGGAAAGGATTTATACTAAATGCTATTCCTGAGGATTCCAACCATTTTAGAAGTGTGTTTATCTGTATTTGGTAACCTCTGAGATTTGGTGATCATATCAAAGTTGAAGTTAAAACTGTACAATAAGCTACCTTTTAAGTGCTGCCTACCCATTGCTGTGCATACAAGAAGTATCAATTGCAATATAGATACCCTTTTTTGATTCTTTTTATGTTGTCATGTGACACCATAAAGTAGGTGATGACAAGGTAGAATTTCGTGGAGCTGTGACTTCATCCACCAGTGTCCAAAGTTGCAGCTTTTGACGGCGCCCCCGCTCCCCCCTCCCCTCATCCTCTCCATCACTACTAACAACGCCACCATCACTCCCCCACCCCACATGCCAAAGTCCT